TGAGCAGATTTCACCCTTATTTCTGGTGTGTTCGAACTATGTTGCGACCGAAATTATTTTCTTTCTGATATAAGTTCAGACACCCACGTAATTGGAATTATTGGAAGCTATGAAGCTTCGATGATCATCATCTTCATCCCACTCACAAGTGCGAAAGCCTGTGCACGCACAGGCTGAAATAATTCAAATCAAAGCATTTCGTGCATGCCTATTTGCCCTCTCTTTGTCAGTTTGTTTCTGGAAGCTCCCTGCGAAGTAGCATCTTCTTGCATGTTTTTCTGCTCCTTTTCCGCTGTCTGTGACTCCATGACTTCTTATTTTTTTGCGCATTTGGTTCGCCGATTTCATATTGCGTGCTTAAGCTTCCCTCATCGATTCCACTGTTTCCGAGAAAGTATATGGAAAGGCAGATCTTGCTTCATCATTGACAGATCCTTTCCATATCTATTCGATTCAACAATTCACAAATTGTTTTGGTAGTGGGTCTAGATTTGGTAAATCTTCTTTGGAATGGTTCTTGCATCTCATTGTATGACTTGCCCTGGAGTCGAAGTTAAATCACTATCACACTTCGCGAAGATTCAACATTATCAATCAGTTTCCCTACAACAACAAAATAACACTATTTATGCAAAATAGATTGGGACCTTTCGGACACACTCTATAGAATATTGCATTCAAAGCATCTTGTATGATGTAACGTTTTGTCAAAATGCTATACCTACTCCACCTTCTGATACCGCGTGTAAAAAAAGAAAGAATTTACCCTTCAGAGACTCTTCACATGCTTACTAGCAAATTTACATACGCGAAGGGTGAACTCCTAATTTATGGAGTCTTTAGCACTTAAGGATGTAAGTTATCTATAATAACGGGTATTAATGACAAACCTATGCAACTGGGACTGGGGTTTAAAGAAAGTGATGAAATTTATTAAACTTTGGAAAACTCCTTTTGAAACATCGTTCATCGGAAGCTACTTGAAAAAAAAGTGAACTGGAAAAAGTTGGTGTTAGCATATCATGCCTGCTGAAACTCCTTCATGATAATGAATGTCTTTTTGAGTTAATTTCAATCAATTTTAGGAGGTTCTCACTGCCTTATCATGTGGTTTTAAACAATTTGAGGAGGCGGGGTGGAGGACTGGTTTGCTCTTACTAAGTACAATTTTATCTGGAGAGATTTGATGAGGTCAGGACCTGTTTTAACGCCAACGTGACGACCATAATGGTGACATAAATTTGGGAATGGGCACGAAAATGTTTGCCCTGCTGAGACGAAGCCAAATAAAAGAATTTCACCTGAAATCAGCTCCTCCGGAGTAATTCCTGTTCCAAATGTCAGACATCAATTATACGAGGGAGGGCTCGTATTGGGAACATATTAGAACTAGCGTGAATCAGTCACTAACAATCGTCTTTTTGCAACGAATGTGAATGGATTTTTTTAGGGGGAGAAGGTGCTATTCTTAATTCATGCATTATTTTATTTCCTTTGTGAATTAATTTTTGCTGCACAGTCCCTGAACTATTTCTCGTTCGCAGTGGTAGAACAACAAATGCATAATGTTTCCTGTAATAAAACGAAAGCTACACGTGCATTGAACTGGAAATTCCCATTAGATCTCGTTTTGCTGAAATGAAAGAATAAATCATGAGCCAGACGTCCACCTGAAAAGTCATCTTACAAAGAATCCAAAAGCAACTTTATTCCTAAAATTAACCCAGCAGCAACTTAAATAAAGATTATAATTCTTGGACTTCTCCCCGTTTCGATTAAACAAAAGAAAATGCTGGAAGAAAATCCTTTCTCCCCTTGTAGAATAAATCCCCCTCGTAGAAAAAAATGCCAGCAGAAAATGTCCTTCAAAGTTGGATTTTTTAAAAAGAAATTTGTACTCTAACAGATACAGGGTGTCGCACAATTGACTGAACATGAAACATTTCAGGCCGCTTTGACCAAGTTTTTTGCTACCTTTACCTACTGCGCGAGGCTTACTGGATTAAGTCTTTTTCAACAATGGGCCGGAAGGAAAACCTAGTTTCAGCCTATTCTGGACCAACATTTCTGTTACTACTGTCAGCATCTTATATTGTCCTACTCGCCAGAAAGAAAACGTTTCATGGGAAACGTCCCCTCCAAAAAAACGGCCTGATGGATTATGTGTGCACCAAAAAAAGAAAGATATTTCCCTGAAATCAGCGCACAAACATCAGCGGCCTCTCCCCTTCGTTACGGCATTCAGCATTAATTATGCCTATAAACCCGGCTATATATTTTCTCCTAATGAACTTTCTTTTCACACATCCTGGACTAGACTTCCGTTCATGGCGAACTCGACGATCAAGATGTGCAACGGTGGAGAAGAGTTCATGAAAGCCTCGCTCCAGAGCATTCGAATTGTGGATGGGACAGACACTAGCATTCAAACCTGGATCCCAGACCGATGTGACTGTCCCATGTCGTGCAATCAGAATCTATATACTTTCTCCCTCGATTCTCGCATTCGAGACGACAATCACTCTGTCATTCGAGTCAGTGTTATCTCCCTATTTCCGATTCAATTCACGGGGAAATCATAGGATCTTTATGTTCCTTCTGCTATTCCGCAGCTCCACTATTTGGACATGACCTACGAAGACATCGCGGAGGAGTACAGTTATGATATTTTCTCCCTCCTATGCGATCTCGGAGGGACTCTCGGGTTGCTTCTTGGAGCCTCAGGTGAACAAGTTAGAAGAGGTCTTGATGTAGTCATTTCTCCCAAAATGTGCAGATTGGCAAACACCAAACTTTTTTTTTACAGTTTTGACCATGGTACAGATCCTGGAATGGTTCTTCGGTATAGTAGCTGCTTGGGCCCTGAGCTATCGATCTCCACCTCAGATCGTGGGTCCAGCCATGTAACAGCCTCACACTTACATGGTGACTCCTCGATGATGGCCCAATAAGGAAATGTCACATAGAGTGGTTCAAGCTCTGGGCTGTGCGGATCAAAGTGACAATTTATGTTTTTCTTTGTCATACGTCCTGCAATATCTTATTAGGTGGACTTCAGTCATCGAGATTCGCTAGAGCACAATTATTTTCGTGCTTCCCACTTATATTACTGTACTTCAACATGCACAGCTGAAAAATTTAGCTCAAGACTTGGTTATAGAAGTTTCTCCAATGGAATTTCGTTCTTTTTAAGGATTGAAAGTTCATGCAAACCAACGTTAGAGACCAGAAGAGCGGCGAGTTGATAATGTCGCAGATCGGGACCGACACAATTCCCAAAATGCAATAAAGGGCACGCCCCAAAATGTGGTTTTTCCCCCCTGGAACACGAAGATGACTACGAGCTTCCACACAAATGTCTTCTATGGTTCAAACTCTCCTTCTCTCTTGGATTAGAAAAGCACCTTGACGAAAGAGGACGTGACACGAACTAATTCGCAGATGAGAGACTCCTGAATTTTTTGTCCACATTCAGGGAAAGCGAAGTCTTGAACGCCAAAGCTTGGAAGCCTCATCTACTAAATAGCGGTCTGTAGCAAAGATCAGTGCTGGCCCCAGCACTCTTAAATATCGACTGAACTGTCACCATCAACAGGAAATTCGCCTACGCTGACTGCCTCGCGCTAGGCATTCGAGCTTCCACCAAAGAAAAGGTCCACGAAAACGTCACGATTGACCTTAAGGAGCTCTAACAGTATTTGAAGTACTGGCGGCTCAGCCCAAACCCAAAAACAGCCGCGGTGATATCGTTCCGTTTTAACAATGCCAAACAAGCCGACCGGAAACTCGCCGTCTCCATCTGCTGCGAACCAGTGCAGCACGAGAATTTCCCAAAATATCTCGACAGAAGCCTCACGTTCCTTCAAGAACATCTCCGGAACGTCGCGGCAAAGACAAAGACACGAGTTAGCCTCATGCACAAGCGTGCGGGAAAGACGGGGGGAAAAATGCCACCGTTCTCCGGCGGTGATCTCTTCAAAGCGCTGGTCTTATCCGCGGCAGAATACTGCTTTCGGTCTGTACCAGAACCTTGCACGTGAAACTGGTGGATACCCAGTTGAACGCCGCGATGAGGACGATCACAGGCAAATTGCGGAGTACACCGCCGTCTTAGTTTCCGGTCCTATCCAACATAGCACCCGCACAAATCTCCTGAAACACGGCAAGCGTGCACGAATATCGAAAGGCCCTAGAAAATCCCGGCCTTCCAATCAACTGCAACATCCCATGGCCACCACCCAGCAGACTCAAATCCAGAAAGCAGTTCTGGATACGCGCCAAGATTCTCCACGACCACGACAAGATCACAAAAGAACAATGGAAGGAGGACGGCGCAATGGTCAACATGCCGCTGGAGTCGATCATCAGCCCCACAACTCTTCAGCCAGGATTCACACATCCAGTGAATATGTGGTTCTCATTGAACCGAATCCGTACACTCCAAGGAAGAAGCGGACACATTTTCCACAAAATGGAAAATCAAAGATAACCCACAGAGCGACTGCGGAGCACCAAGCCAGACAGTACAGCATACATCATACTTGAATGGCCAATTAGATACTTCAAGGGCGATTTAAAAAACATCCAAGAGGCTACTCCTGAGGCAGTCTAATGGCTATTTCATCTTGATATCATTCTTGGATTTGTTGTTTGGTTTGCTATCAACTAAGGCCATACGGATGAAAAAGAATAATCTGCCATGTCATATTTTCTCAACTCCGTATCTAATCTTAGTTTCCTGGTCTCTACCTCAAGGAATCTCGATTAGAACCTAATAAATCGTTATTCATTCTTTGTGGAGTCATTGTATCAGGTTGTTAGGTAGAGTGCTTCACATGAAGATGCCCGGGACATTTAAATACAGCTTACATTTTAATGGGAACGTGAAGAGGGTGACCGTGTTTTCAAAGACTGGGCTATGGGAGGCAGCAAGGTCGGTCTTCAACATTCCAGAGGGACAAGAAATGAATTTCCAGTTTCAGACACCAGAAGGAGAAAAGGCTATGATGAATTCATTGAGTGACATCCCTGACTGTCGGAGAACACTCCATTTGTTACGGGTTTACCCCCAGTCTTCTTTGCGTCAAAAGCCATCCATACTCGGTCAGCCCCATAGAAGGTGATGACTCACTTATTCTGATCATCTTGTGCCTGAGCGAATGTACGCCGTTAGTGAAAATATAGTCTTCCATTTTCAATGACATGCTGCGAGTGAAATTATTTTATACGAACCTATAAGTCCCCGCTTAAAAAGTTTTAAAATAATGTACAGGATGTTTAGGTGCAGCTTCTATCATGTGGTATTCTTGATAGAGAATAGAACATTTAAAAAGAAGGCACACACTTTTGATACAGTCTATGGAGCTACGCCTTTTTTACCTTTTATTTCTGATGTATGTGGTCATCAAAGTGTTTTTGGCTGGCTTCATGTACTGTATATGGTGACCTAGGGACTCTTTTACGAATGGTTCTGATCAATATGATCAATATATGCCTTCATGCATTTGAGTTACAGGATTCTAAACAAAATTATGAATTCCCTATTTGCATCCCACTATTTGAATCACGCTGTTGTTGCATGGAATGACGCATTTATTCATGATTGTCAATATGATGAAGGATTTTAAACTCTAGGTACGTGGAAGAACAGAAAGATGCTTCAAAGGAGGAGGAAGTTGACGATTTTCCAATGGAAAGAAAATTGGTGAGACTCGGATTCTGAATTCCTTCCATTCCTTCCATTCCTTCTAAAATGAAGCAAAAAATGGCATATTACCAACCTGACATCTCTAATTTCACTTAAATTTGAAATTACGCGTGACCCTGCATCCAAACCCGAAATTTCGCAATTTCACATTTCAACCTAATCAGTCCAGTAAGTGAAGCTCGTTTGGCTTCAGTTAGGTTGATTTTGGTTATATACTGGGTTTCACAAAAGTGTTCACCATTTTGAATTGCCATAACTTCTTCATTATAATAAACATTCAATTCAAACGAAAAGAAAATCACAAAGAAACTCTAAATTTTTGTTCTAGTGGAAAATAAGTTCAACATGTTCAACAACTCTAGCTGCAGGACAGCCTCAAAGACGTAGAGAGAAGTTTTGTACTGTTGCCTTCAATACTTCCTACGGAATGCCTCGAACTGCCCGTTGATTCGTTCCCTTGAGTTCTGCAATATCTAGTATGTTCTGAAGTGTTCATTCTTGCTGTATCCCTACATGTAAAAGTTGAGTGGACTGAGATCTGGGGATTGTGCCAACCACGCGATGTCGATGCTTTGAAATGTTGCTTTTCTCAACATTTGCGAAAAGTGAGCAGCCACGACGGAAGTAACCTTGAGTGCTCTTATTGCGTTTCCGCTTATTATCAGGCGTTCTTAGCGTCGGACAGGGAGCGTGGCTCGGCAGCTTATCTGTTACATGCTGCAGTGTGGTGTAGAGTATCGCCACTCTTAGTGCGCGGTTTTGAAGTAGCTTTTGATTGGTCAGGAAATATGAAGTTTCACAATGGTTTCAAGTGAATCAAATAAGGCTCTGACCCTTGCGTGAGGAGAAGCAATACTCTCTGAATGAAATATTGAATGAGTTTCCTATTCGTGGATGGCAGCGTCATTTATTCGAACTTAAAAAAAAGCGATTATATGAATAAAAAACATTTAATTGAAATAAAAGTTGGCTGAAGTTGGATGAAATCTATTTCCGATGAGTCCTGCCTCATTCCCCTACCTCTTACGAATCCTGAGTTATGAGCTGCAAAAATCGGTGCTGTTTTTTGTGGCCCACATACGGTATATTGGGTATGACACTGAAAATGTCAAGACAATGCTTAGCATAGTGTCCCGCCAGCAAACGCACGAAGCTCCAGAATTTTGGAGGGCCACCAAGTATGATCGCATTCTTGACTTCAGAGAAGCGCCACACTATCTTATCGTCAATTTTTATAACTTTAATGTGGTATAACAGATAGCGAAAGAACGCCCTATATACCTTCTCTGGATACATGCCACGTACGTAAGGAAATTCACTGGGAATCCACATCAGATTGTTGTTATGTTATTTAATATTTTCTTTAGTACACGATAATATTTATTACAGTCGTGGCCATAAGTTTAAGACCACTTTTGAGAAAATGTACTTTTTTCTTCTGAACGCAGTGATTGCATCAGAAATGAAATTGATTGCATGAGATTGCGTCATCCTTACGTCGGCCTATTGTAGTCACTTTTCAATTGACCATCACGCAGTAAACACTTCATTACGCCGCATTTCGCTGTGTTTTGCCTTTTCTAAAAACCCACGAAAATGGGTAAAAAAAAAGCGTCACTCACGGAAAACCAGAGGGGACAAAATGTGGTTCTCCACCAGGAAGGATATTCTGAAAGAGCGATTAGTGAAAAGTTAGTGTAGTAAGACTGCCGTTCACAATGCAGTCGTGAAATTTGCGAATTCGGGGACTTATTCGGACAGAAAGCAGTCTGGGCGTCCACGGAAGACCACACCGGGGGATGACCACGCCATAAGGAGGATAATTCTTCGGTCTCAAATGAGTTCCTCAAGCAAGATACGGTCAGCATTTCTCGCAAAAGGTACGGATGTAAGTCGCATGATCGTGAGTCGACGTTTGATCAAAGAATTTGGCTTGAAATCGTGCAAACCGGCGAAAAAACCACGTCTCACACCGGCTATGAAGATCAAACGCCTGGCCTTTGCGAGAAAACACGTGAATTGTACCGCTGAACATTGGAACCAAGTGTTATTTCCGGACGAATCTACCATCCAGCAGTTCGCCGCACGCAAGCGCTATGTCCGGAGGCCGACTGGAAACAGATTTGATGAACGGTACACCGTACAAACGATGAAACACCCGCCGAGTGTCATGATATGGGGCGCCATGTCGGTCAACGGAACGGCTGGACTCTTTTTCTTACCAACCGGGAACACCATGAAAGGCCAAAAGTACGTTGATTTACTGAAAGACAAGTTGGAGCTGCACATGACCGTACATAAGTGAAAGATTTTCTTGCAGGATGGTGCGCCTTGCCATCGATCTAAGATTGTGACTGATATTCTTCTTCTTCAAGAACTCAAAGTCCTTGATTGGTATAGGAACAGTCCTGATTTGAACCCCATAGAGAATCTCTGGGTCGTTCTCAAGGACAAAGTTGCAGATAAACAGCCAAGTAGTGCCAAAGAACTGGAAACAGCAATCAAAGATGTTTGGATACATGAAATCTCAGTTGATTATTGCCGAAGTCTTGTGGAAAGCATGCCGAGACGTTTGGAGGAGGTTATTAAACGTAATGGAGGACATACATTGGACATTGGCTGTTCTCAGAATTCTATAAAAAAAAAGCATGTGCTTATAGTGTAAAAGCCTTTGATGTTAGATTATTCAAACAATAAAATTAGTTATTCAAGATTAATTCCGAGAAAATATGCAATTTGTTGCCTCAAACTAAAATTCAAGTGGTGGTCTTAAACTTTTGGCCACGACTGTATTTTATAACATTAATGTAACATTTTCGGTCCATGTCATGTCTATTTTGCGCAAATCTTCATCAAGATATTATGAGTATGTTTCTAAAAATGTCAGCTATGTCATATGTGAACCGTGCTATACGATTGTAGAGAAATTTACAAGAAATTGACAGTCGCAAAGATTTAAAATTGACAAGGATTTATATTAAAGTAGACAATCTTTTTCCCATCATGAGCTTCATGTTTCTATAAATATAACATAAAACTAACAAATTATCGGTCAATTGTGAATTAAATTTGCATTAATCGTTGTCGGTATGAAGCTCAACAATTTCTCCAAATTTTCATCTCTTTAATAAGCAAACTGGTACCAAATATACATGCATTTTGCTTGGAATAGCCTTACATCCTAACATGCAGATAACATTAAATTATTCCACCATTCATTATATTTATTATTTGTATTTTGGAATTAAATAAATGTCCTAAAACAATACGAACTTCATCAAGAAATTGGAATGCAATATGACATTTTTTTAATGCCTCACATTGAAACATTGGTGAAATAGGTGCCATTCTAAAGCTACAAGCAAATATGTTGGGAATTTCAACATAATTTTTTTTTTCACTTTTGGAGGTGAATAATAAAAATATGATTAAGGGAAGTGGCACAGCCAAGTGACACTCTGTGACTGGCAAACATTCGGAAGCATTTGCTTCAGAATGCTTCATATGACAATAATGTTCTAGATCACCTTAAATGATAGAATGCACTGAATTTCTGGAAGATATTTGCTTGATTCAATTCAGAGCTTAAACAAAATTTGTCTTATAGTTTCATGGAAAAATACGGATCTAAAAAATGTTCATATAAGCAAGACATGGATACGATTTAGTCTGGCAAACTGTCATTACTTTGTGATATGATAAGCTCGCTTATCTTCCTTCTGTTTAATCGGAGTCCATATGACTAGCTACTATTGAGCAAGACTCGATGCTGACGTTCAAAAGTATGATGCAGTAAGATTTCATCTCCTTCGGCTGTTTTGCTCTCCTGCCAGGTTTCCATATTTATCTCGGACAAATCCCAAATGGAATGACAAATTTCGAACTTAATGTATGTGTGCTTTACCAATAGCATCCCTTAAACAAAGCCTACATTCTCTAAGTCTTCTCACTCAAGGAAGATATGATGTATTAAAGGGATTCTGCTCCTAACCATCCTTCCTTGTCGATGAAAACTCAGCTTTGGTTCACAGCATCCAGAAAAAAATGTACCATGACCATTAAACTATTGCAGGAAGCTAGAAGTAGCATTCATCACCAGCCGCCTCATGGTTAAGATCAATGAATGTCAATCGCTGACATTAAGCTTGCTTCATACTTACATGCTTTCCTTCCGTTAGCGACATGTCTCGTGGATGGGAAGAGCAACAATATCTATCAAAATTAATTGGTAGTGTATCAAGTACAAGCAAGGGAAATCTAGCAACCATTGAAGAACATTGTTACATATACAAACAGTGACTGAAACATTTCTTGTTAATATTGACATTTTAATTTATTGTGGTCTAATGGTCCTCTTTCCCTTATGAGTCTTACCCTTCCTGTCTCTTTCATCTTCTGTAAAGTGACAGGAGACTTGCATTGGCCTCAAATTGTATTCTATTTTTGTATATCATATTACAGAGCGAAGACATAGGCGTGTTACATTTGGAAAAGGAGAAAATGGAACAAGGTTCTGACGACTTGGAGAAATCTGAAGAAATCCAGCCGAATTCTGAGCACCACCCTCCTAGTGCTGGCTCCTTCTTACCTTCTGAACGAAACCTCCAACTGCCTTCCTCCAATCATCCTCAGGAGCAACCCATGCCACAACTAATATCACAACATCCGGAAACGGTGTCTTCCGATAGTCATATCGAGTCCACATCCGAAGAGGAAAAACAAATCCATCAAGAAGGAATTACATCGTATCCGGCAGGATCCTTTGGCCCACATATGCCTTTACCATTGAATTTTAATTCCTATCTCATGCACTATCCACAAAATTCTCTAATGCCTCAATTCTACCCAGGCTTACCTCTTCGAATGCCATCAGCTGAATTCCAACCAGACTTACATGTTAAAATGCCAATAGCACCTGACTTGCATCAAGGATACGCAATAGGGCAAGAAACGAGGACACTCGGACCTCTCCAATTTTGGAAGTATGGTTTTATTGGGTAAGTTCAGTAAAACCTGCCTAAAAGAAGAGGTACATGGAAAGTGACATTCTAAAAAGTTATTGTGCATGTCTACGAATCTTTCCGAAGCATTTCCTGTAAACAGAGTTTTAGTGTCTAAAGGGAATTCCGATGTATTCGAATAGGAATTTTCAGCCTAACTCAAAAATATAACCATTTCTTCAAATTCGGGCATGTTTAAATGAGATAATAAATTTAGATTTTCGAAATGAAAACAAAAGTGGGGCAACGATGGATAATAATATGTTGGGCTATACGGATCCTCTCCAGGGCCCTTCAGGTTGGAACAGGCGCGCTTGAAAAGGCGTTATATGTTGTAGGTTGAAACCGTTTCCGGACTGAGAGACTTTGCTCAAATAGGCATCCCAAATTGCATCACCAAAGTAAATGTTGAGTTCAATATCTACTTCATGCGCTTTTCGCTTGTAAAGTCTCTTACGTTCCAGAAGCTGGAGCCCACCACGTACAAGGTATCAAGTGTCATTTGTCTCTCCTGATGTCCGCAGCGAACATGTCACTAATCGAACTGTTTGCGAATGTCAAATTTTGCCAAAAATTAGAAAAAAAAAACCTTCTACAGAGAAAAACTCTGTTGAAGGAAGTGTACGGAAACAATGCGACGCCAAGGTGCCAAGTGTTCGAGTGGTACCGATGTTCATAGAAGGGCGGGAAGGCGGGAATTTCTTAAAGACAACGCATCAATTCGCGCGCCGCTGATGGTGACGCAGTTCTGAGCAGACAGTTCTTGGGAAGAACTGTCTTGCCATATCCTTCTTCTTCGCCTGATCTCGTTCCGTGCGATTTGTATGTTCCCGCAGAAGAATCTTCTGAAAGGAGAACGCTTTTCTAGCGCCGATGAAATGATGAAAGCTGCCACAACTGCACTCAAGGAGGTTGCAACAGATGGGTTCGCCCCCTGTTACGAAGAACTGTACAGTCGCTGGGAAAAATGTGAAAGTGTGTGTGCTTCAACCTTGACCGGTCTTGCGAACCATACTCAGTCCGGATACTTTTTGAATGTACAACGTAATTTAAGCAGAAATACTCTGAATATGCTGTTATTTTGGGGTGCCAACACCTGTCCGCTGAATCCCATTCTTTTCTCGTAATACCTGATTGTTTATATAGGCCACCTTGTCCATATAAATTGATGATGCATTTCAGGCGTCAACGCAGCTCATAGAAACAAAGGATTACAATTACACGCACAAATTAGTGATTCTCATGCATTCTGCTTAAATTTATAAATTTTTTCCTGAAATCAAAGGCTTCAACACGATAGAGAATGAGTGCCAAGGCTGTGAATGACCGAACTTTGTGTGTCTTCAAGTAGAGAAACGATGGATCATATGACCACCCTAAGCGCAGGTAGACAGTTTAACGCGCAAGATACAAAAACTATTTGCTGAATGTTTCCACCGTACTAAACAAAATTCCCTGCCAGTATGGCTGACTGAAAGCTATAGGTGAAGTTCTGGCGTCAGCATTATTGTTCTCTTGTCCATTTAACCCATTCAAACGCGCTCAATTTAAGCACGCTTACATGGCTGTTTTTCGCAAGCAAAAACAAGGTCGTGTTATTTGGAGAGGGGGGTGTCCTCATAACCCTATTGGATGAATTACATGGACATGCAAAAAATACAATTCAAACTCAATCCACCACTTTACTAAGAATTTCCAGTGAAACGTATCGGCCCCGAATGTTCCTTTATGATAGAGGAAACCTTCAACAATTAATTTCATGTATCCGGGGTGTCTAGGTTTCCCTAAGTCCTGAAGGTGTCCAAATATAGTCCATTCCTGATCAAAAGTCTCGGATCTGGAATCCCCTGGCACTTTTCTTAAGGGGGTAGCCCTAGGGTGCTTGACTGCACCGAGGGACCCATGACCGCGGTAAAAAAAAAGGTTGTGACTAGGCTAGGGATTACGATTATGAATGTCGTATTCGAAATATATGGAGGGAATGAATAAGGCGCAATATTTTTAACCTCGCTCCGTGCTTTAAACCTTTCATGGGACTACCATTTAATGCCGATATTTTTCTAGGCACTACCATTTTTGTTTCTTATTACATTCCAATTCCCGGTTTCTTCTTTTCCCCATTCAGGAACCAACAAGTACCTTCCACAGGACCGATTGATCCAATTTCAGACAACATGCCGGTAAGGATTTTTATTTACTTCTATAACAAAGGGTTCTTAGATTTTCTCTGGTTTAATTTCCAATCTCTATCCTACCCCAGGAAACTGTAACTTGTAGCTTATTCTTTTACCGCATCATAATATTTTTTCAATCCGTTTAAGTCATTAAGATGCAGCTATTAAAATCGTCACTTGCATGATCACAGGAGAGCTGGAGGAACGTACAACGTACTGTACATGCATGTGCAAGAGTAACAATTTATTAAAGTCGTATTATTTGGCTAAAATTTATTGATCTTTTTTCTACTCATCACGTTTTCATTATGAAGGACAATGAAGGGAGGGAGAAAATGGAGTTGTCACTGGCTCAAAAAATGAAGGAAACGAGCAGGAACATTGATGGATTCATTCACCAGCTTCCGATGAGGGAAACCTTGAGAGATGACAATCATCGTTTAGCGAAGTATGAGATTGGCGAAGAAGGACCCACATATGAATCAGGAAGGGTTCTCATGCTCATTGGAGCCACGGGGACAGGTGAATCCCATCTCCTTTGATTTCACATTGTGCCAGTTTCGGGTGTAAATAAATTATTATTTTTTACTCTAAGGGAAGACTACACTTATTAACGCCATGGTGAATTACGTCTATGGAGTGAAATGGGAAGACAATTTCCGATTTAAGATTATCTTGGACGAAGGCGGAAAAAAATCTCAAGCCCATAGCCAGACCCGGTCGATCTCGGCGTACGTCTTACACAAGCAAGAAGGATTCGCTATTCCTTATACATTGACCGTCGTCGATACGCCCGGGTTCGGCGATACCGCAGGCATCAAAGCAGATGAAGACTTGAGAATTCAAATCAAGAATTTCTTCTCTTCCGGCGGGACCATCGGCATGGATCAGCTTCATGGTATCGGATTCGTTGTCCAAGCTTCCTTGGCCAGGCTTACCCCCACTCAAAAATACATATTCAACTCAATATTGGCCGTTTTCGGAAAAGACGTAGAGAAGAGCATCTATGTATTGACTACTTTCTCGGACTCCGAAAAAGCACCAGTTTTGGCCGCCATCCAGGAAGCCAGCATTCCATACAGAGAGCATTACAAATTCAGTAACTCCGCCTTCTTTGTGAACCCCTCAGATGACTCCGATTCAAAGATTTTGAACACATTTTTCTGGGATCTGGGAATGAAAAGCTTTCAGAATTTCCTCTTGAGTTTCGTAGAGTCCGACCCTGTGAGTCTGACTATGACGAAAGAGGTCCTGGAGGAAAGAGAACGCTTGGAAGCAGCGCTCGCGGCCATCTTACCGCAAATTCGGATAGGTAAGACAACATTTTACACCTTATTTCCTTGGTTTTGAGAAAATTGTAGGGATTCTGAATGTTTCTCGAGGTTCTCATACGACGTACAATTAACACGTATGTCGAACAGAAGCATATAGGTGTACAAATATTATCATTTCCCATTATGTCCAAAGCTTTGCCCGTGTGTGTGCACGAGACCTTTCAGAACTTGCACTCTTTTCAGTTATTGGCGGTCTGGAACAATTACGGGAGACGCATCAAGCGCTGAAACAGCATGAAGCAGAAATGAACGCTAACAAAAACTTCAATTACACAGTAACGGTCCATAAGCAAGATTTGGTCAATCTAAGTGATGGAATGTATGCGACAAACTGCCTAAAGTGCACGGTCACTTGTCATTACCCTTGCAGCATCCCATTGGCCACGATGAGGTTTGGATGTTCTGCAATGCATGGATTGAAAAGAAAATGCAATGTCTGTCCCAATAAATGTGCTTGGCAGAAGCACAAAAACCAACAGCTTCGCTTCGAAATCCACGAGGAGAAAGAGACAAGAACCTTTAAAAATTTAAAGGAAAAATATGAGACAGCAAAAGGAAATAGCTTGACTGCAAAGGAGCTTCTGGAAGAACTCATCAAGGACTTCAATCAGGAGAGGGTCAAAGTCTTGGAACTGACAAGAGAGGCGCACAAATGCAAGCAGAAGCTCGAAGAAATAGCATTGAATCCTAATCCACTTGGTATCACAGATTACATCGATTTGTTGATTCAGAGAGAGACACAAGAAGGAAAACCTGGCTTCCTGCAGAGGATTAAATACCTGGAAGATGCGAAGGAGAAAGCAGAATTGGCCAAGAAGCTCAAGGACGGTTTTGACCCATTCCAGGTGTACAGGAAAGAGTTCGAAGAGAAGGGAATCGATATATCTGCCTTCAATCCGAATCCAGATCAGGATCGCTCAATAATATCACGTCTTAAAGGAGTATTCAAGGGAGTCAAGGACAAGTTTGCTTTTGTTGAACATGACCTCCTACGAATGGATAATGAGGGATATGATAAAGGAAACGTGAAGTCCCTATTTTATAGGCCATTGAGAGAAAGCGCTGCACCTGTGCAAAGTTCATCTTCCATTTTCAAGAAAGAGGTTACAAGATTAGAGTGATTCCACATGTGAAAAAACACCAAATCAACGTGTGATTTGAGAAAGTTCCATGCACAATACACTATAATAAAGCAAGACAAAACAAGGAGCTACTCGGATGGCATTCACGCACTAACATTAGTTCTGACATCGAGTTGAAATGTATGTCACACGATCGACTTATCTTCACAGATGCCTTAACAATATCTGAACTTTTTACCGCGATTGCACTTTCCCCCATTGAATGCATGTGCACTGCATAGGCGAACAACATTGAATGTGTTAACACATTTTCAGACACGATCCCATTATCTAACGAGATTTCTAGATATAACTTCAGATTTAAGGGAAAAAATTTAGCGCTTTCCCAACTAAGTTATCTTGGCTTCCCTCCACTTCTCCCTAATTTTACCTTTCTGTTTTCAATAAGTATAGAAACGCTACCTAATCCTCGGCCATCGATTTCGTCTTTTTTCTACAAGTCTTTCTTGAAGATGCACTATGAAATTAGAGAGCTAAATTAAAGAATTTTCACCGTGCAAAACAAACCGAACCTACTTCTACCGGTACAGGAATTTCTTCGCAGACCACTAATGATCTCCGATAGTGAATCATTTCGGAGACGAGAACGAGCTAGTTCAAGTCTCGAGCACGACCGAAGTGGCTTTCGATGCCCTAATGTCCTTGGCTACCAATCAATCAGGAAACCCCAAGAGCCACTTTGAGGGCTTGATCTTCAATTTGGGAGACGCGACCGCAGAGACAACAGTCAGAGATGAGGTCTCCGTCAAAATCATCATTTGAAAGTCGTTTTACCCCCCCCCCCCAAAAAAAAAAAAAAACCCTT